TTAAGCCCACACTTTACTGGTGGGGAACTGAGGCGGTGAATGGAACGCCACATGGTCCTGGCATTCAGGCAGTCACAGCCGTCTCCTCCAGCCTCTAGAGAAAGCTGCTAAAAGCAAAGTAGGAACTGCTTTGAGGAACTTGTTTCCTTCAAAATTCACCTCAGCTGAAGAATCTGTCTGATGATTGCTGTGTCCATGCATAATTCCAAGAATGTCAAAAGGGTTACCCCAAGTTGTTAGATGTCAATTATCTGTTGCTCCAAAATATACCCATTTCTGTCTGCAAAACTTGTGTGCAAGTTTGCGTTCTGGTGTACCCTGATACTCATGATTCACGTGCATTTTTGACACTCGGACTTCATTACCATCATTCATTATAACTGAAAGAGTTTCAGCTGATTGGGTTGTGGCATCTTTTGGCAGAGCCACACAAGCTGTTGAGAATAATTCCCACCCCCACCCCCCCCAGGTCCATTTTCACTTATTCGCCTTCACTGGATGTGGGGCTGTAATGAAGGAGTCATCTCCCTGTAAAAAATAGTGCTGACTGCTTAGTTACACAGCCTGCCTGCTAAACAGAAAGAGGTAGCAATGGAGTGTCACATTTCAAAGACTACATGAAACAATTGGAATGGTGATAGACTGAACTAATGCATTCTTAATGAGAAGAAGCTCTTCTATTACTCTGATGGGATGCATGGAAAGAAGTGCTGCATGCTTGGAAATAGTAAAACTCAGAAAAACATTTCTAATGCTGCTGGGGAAAGAAGGAAGCAACTGTGGCAGAAGTCTGTGCAAAAACTATATAAGCACAATATGAAGATTTGAATTCAAAGGTGAGACATGTGAGTGCTCTGATCCCTACATGACTGAAAGGGACTTTTGGGACTGCATAAATTTTGTGCATACAGCATAAGCCGTGTCCACTTACCACTGAACATTTTCAACATCCTATAATAAATTTAGGATACTAAGAAAATGCAAAAAGCCACACTTAATGCACCAGGGGTAACTCACAGTATTACTAATGTCTTGGGTGCCCTCAGTAACAGCTCCCAGATGTTTTGAGAACGTGGCCTTGGCCACACTCTGCAGTAGAGGAGGAGGAGGAGTAAACATAAAAGAGTAATACATGTCTGGAGGAGAAGTACATCCTGATTCCACATCCAACAATAGCTTTAACATCGATCAGGTGAGCAAGACACATGTATGAGGCATACTCAAGTCAGTCTTCTAGGAGCTTCAGTGTACATCATCCAACAGTCTGTCTCTAGCTCTGACCAAATTCCTGTACTTTGGCAGGAAGAGTTGTTAATTTGGACTCTGAGTGGAGAAAAAAGTCCTCCTTAGCTCCCATGAGTGACCAGCGGGAACCCAAAAGCATGGATTTAATGCAGTGTAAACAGAGTGTCACACAGACCCATTTTTCAAACTTCATTGATGCTACCACCTCAGTATGTGTCCAAGAACTCACAAGACAATCTTAATTTTCTATATCTAAGCGCACTTTCCTCATGTTTCATGATCTGTTTGATGAACATTTAAAGCTCTGTCTTAAAATAATGCTGGTTCTTTGTAGGTATTTGGAAGATTCCTTCTGAACTTCACTTTTTGAATAGTTGTAAATCTTGTTTTAAACTTGAGACTATGATTACTCATGACCCAGTTTACAGACCTGAGATCATGTGCTACCATTTCCTTCCTTCTCTGTTATTTACATTCTGTATGAGAAAGAATCATCATATTCCTCAGCCACTGAGTTGCTAAGCAAAACAAGTGAAACTTTTAATATTTAACTTGATATGTTAGATACTCATTGCTCTAAACATCCAAATAGGTTTTCTCTGCCTCAATTCTGATTTAACACAGAAAATTCTGTTCTTTATTTAACACAGATAACTAGTGCTTTACACAGAATTCCAGAGGAGGTCTTCTCCCATGCTACTAACACTTCTCTAGCTCTATTAAAAGTATTTTGCCACATATGTTGTAGAGCTGCATAAGCTCTTTTGACAAAGATACCTTTCTGGCTTTTATACTTGCATTTTCCAGTCTTCAGCATTTCCAGTTAATCAGTTCTGTGTTTACACCAAAAATGATGAATTGCTTTAAAGGGCCCGGGGGGACGACTGCTAAATTTTATCCTATTTATATTACCTGTGCCAACAAAGTTGACTTACTCTTGTCAAGTGATGAGTGAGTCCTTCTCCACAATATCAGAACCTCCTAACTTTTTCTTGCCCACAAATTTTATGAGTGCACCCTTAACTCATGCTCTTAGGATAGTAATAAACATATTGGTGGTTCCTAAACTAATCCCTGAGAAACACCATTAGCAATTTTCCTCCTCTCAAATAACACCACCTGTAATATACCCTATTGTTGTGTCTGTTTATCCAGCTTCTTATCCAACAGAAGAGGTTTTCTACTAATTTGCATGATTTCCACTTACATAAGTTTCATATGAGGACCTACAATAAGCATTTTATATAATACCTAAATATACTAGATCTGACACATTATCCTGTCTAAGAAACTGAGAACTGTAAATAATCCCCAAAGGTAATTATTTTAACCACAGAAAATCCCACTGTCATTTCTCCCATTTTTAATTTTCATGTGTTTTTAATCACTCGTTTCAAATCCGTTCCAAATGTGTACAGTGCTGCAGTCAAACTAACAGCCATGAAATCACTTGATGTACTTTTTCCCCCCTCTTCTTGGCCATGTTTGCCCAATCCATCATTGCATACTTCTGTCATCTCATACTATCTCCAAATGATACATATTTAAAATCTTTTCTACTTGTGCTTCCATCTGCCCATGTCTTCTGTACTCTAGAACAAAGATAATATGGACCCAACAATTTTCTCACACTCAACTACGTATATTTGACTTCCCTTACAAATTACGTAATTCCCACTGATTTTCCATCATTCCCCTTAGCTATCCTTTCAATATCTTCATGTAAATCAACTTCCTTGAAATTGGGAAAAGCACGTATTCAACAACAGGTAGTCTGTATATCAAGAACAATGTAGGCATGCCCAACTTACCCTTCAGGTCACTACCCTGGCCTCACTTCATCGCTTTTTTTCTTTATTGTTCCAGTAGCTAAAAAAAATACAGCTCTGTTTGACTTTTTTGTGTGAGGTACAGTCCAACAAGGCCTTTATCCATCATTCCTTTGCTTCTGTATTTTATAAGGTCTGACAGTAAGTTCTCCTTGATAACCACTTCTCGCTCTTTCGGGGTTTTGTACCTATTCTTAGCATCTTGCTTTAGTTATTTATTCCTTCAGAGACTCTAGCCCTTACCTACAATTTCTCCCTCCTGTCCAGCATGCATACATTATTTCCATTCTTAATGTAAATACATCCTTTCCTGCATGTAAATCATTATGTTCTTCAGGCCAGTCATCTTCATTTACCGATTTTTTCTATTTTCTAAACGTTTGCCATTCTGAAATACCAAGATATAGCTATAGATTTATTTTTGTCCATCCTGCAATTTAAGAAGAACCAGATCCATTCATAATCAGTTCCTCCTAGAACCTTAGTTTTTGGTCGGCTGTTCTGCAAGATCCTCCTCACACAAGACTAAGCTTAAAATAGCACACACTTTGTTGCTTTACGAATTGCTGTACCAAAAAGTCAGTCTTCTGAAATGTCTAAGAATATCTAAACCTTGCTGTTATTGATGATATTTATATCTGTGTCTGGAAAATTTATGTCTCATATGCTCGTACAATTTCCCGTATTATTTATTTATTTATCTATTTATAGAGATGATTACCCTCTTCCAAATCTCAGCCTGTCAGACCATAATACCCACTTCTCCCCAAATACTGTCCAAGTTGGGCCTCTTTTACCATCTCCCTTGCAGTGATTTTCATCCTAACAGATTATGTTTTATTCATGCCATCACATTTTAAGATGAATAAACACAATTTGGCTGTTTTACTTTGCTACAGCTTCAAATATCCTGACTTTTATGTATTTTAAGTTGCATCCACATAGGCCTGTATATAAAATTTCCTTGTTTTCTTTTTAGATTGAAGAAACCCCAAGGAAAAACAGCATGAGCATCCCCACCCTTTCACGAAGTGTTTATAAATGTACCAATTCATATTAGATTAACTTAGCAGCATTTGGTTTGGTTTTTATTTAGCAATATACACTAGTTATGAATAGTTCTTTTCTGTACCAATAATGCTTTCTCCTAGACACCATTCATCCTCTTGAATGAGGTATAGGGAATACTGAAATAGCGATGAGATTGTAATCAATGTACATCATTTATAATGCACAGAAAATGTGTAAAGTTCAAAAAACATCAAAAAGACCAGAAATTTGAACAGTAGGCAACACTGGGTAGTGTAAAGATTTAGCTCCCATCCACACTGTTACCATGTAAACATGCTGTCGGATGCAGCTTTAACCCAAATTCTAGAGATCTGTAGGGGAAAATTGCTCAGAAATCTTCAGCCACCATCTGTCATAGCCATCAATCTTAGGGTCTGCTCACAGAGGACAGGCAAGGAATGAATTACAGCATAGTCCCTCAGCAAATATGCCAAGCTCAACTCTTCTGAAGGATCACTACAGCCTAAGTTACAGTTCAACAGAAAGTTCTCAGGCTGCTGTTCTCAGCGGTAGTAAGTTGTCATGCACTTGCATATGGACATAGCCATTAAATGCCCAGACATTGTCTGAAGTGTTCAGATGAAGTCTTCCTGTGATTAATCCTATAAATGATAAGCAAAAGACAGCATATCAACTCGGTTTATTCCCTGTCTGAAGAAGATAGGGAACGTAACCTTAGATTTCAAAAAAATTTATAGCTAAGTCAGTAATACATTTCTTCTAGTCAGCCTTGCTGTGATTTAGATGGCAAGCAGCAAGGAAGATTTGAACTGTCACACTTGACTTTGAGCTGCCAAGAAGAGGTATTGGAGGTTACAGGATAAGGTTTAATTTACATTCCTCCTTTTGTTACAGGCAGAGATGGTACGTGCGGCCTTCCAAGCGCAGAGATCTTTCCTGGTGTTAGCATCTCAATGTCAAGAGCCTCAAGAGGTAAGAAAAGTGACCTAGCGTTTCAAGAGGCAGTGCATCAAAAACACTGTGTCCCTGTATGTTTAATATCAATCCCTGCATTTGATTGTATTTGTTACTTCATTTATACCGTGCACTTAGAGGCTTGCTTTCAGTGTTATTAGCTTGGCGCTCTAATAATCAGAAAGCCATGGTGCAGAGTTAAGAACCTTCTGTACCAATACATATAAGGTCGTTGAAGAAACCAAAGGAGATTTCCACTTTACAGCTGTGAGTGGGATCAGGCTTTCTCTGGAAAGCTGGAAATGCCATGGAATAGAATGGCTTTTTGCTAGCCCCACAGGGATGCTCTCTGACAGACACTGAAGACATGGGATAAGCTGTTGGGAGAAGAAACAGTATTAATCCCTAGACTCAGTATTCTCTAAGCTGAGGTCCAGGTTAGGCCAATTCTGGAAGGAAGGTAAAGCATTTTGTCAAGAAAATGAAAAACTCCCAATTTCTATCAAGTTATTTCTCTACTTATTTTAGTGGCAACTATTTAAATCCTCCCCTCACAACTACAGAGCTCAGGGAAGCTGTGTAGTTGTTATAAATCTCATCTGCAGTTTCTGGAGGGCACAAGGTTTTGGCCAATAGCACAGTATCATTCCTGGGAATAGCGATGATGCAGCCCTTCTGTGGGACCACCCTCGAACCTTCCTCCTTGGAGTGTGCAGAGAATGAAGACTTGCACAGTCTCTCCACGACCTTCAGTCCTCTCTTCTTCCACTAGCTCCCTGCTCCATAGTTCATTAAAGTCTGTATTTTCAAATCAGAGCTCTCTGCCACTAGTATAAATTATTGAAATTTTGCTTTCACCATTCTTCTTGGAGACATAAATTAAAAGTTTTTCTGATCAGTATGTTTTATTGGCAAGGGTACTCAAGCTGAAAAAAAAGTACAGATATTCCAAGAGATACTAGATTTATAGAGTTCCAAGCAAGAAGGGATCAGTTGTTTTTCCAGCTGTCCCTGATCTCAGAGAGTAAAAGTGGGTCATGACTCACAGAGAACAGGCAAAATTCCCATTGGTACAGGCCTCAAGCAGTCATTTATATTGGCTGTGAATAAAATTGGACCCAGTGGCCCACAAAACTCTTCATGTTCATAGGTAAAATATTCCCCAATGAACAGTTTCTGATGGCCCATAATATAACGTACTACTCGGAAGTGTTGGTATTCTCCCAGCTCTGATAAGAGGAGAAGCCGTGGCTCACTCTTTCGCCTCCTGTGCTGATGTGCGATCAGTATGATTTTCTCTGCTTTTCAAGTGAGAATAGCAATAGCTTCTCCCCACTTTCAGCCTTTCGACTTTCTGACCTCAAGTCAAGGCTCTTAAGATTTTTTTCAACAGTAAGGCTTAAAAACTTGCATTTAAAAAATGGCAACAGAGCAAGGGAAAAAAAAAAAAAAGAGCTAATGTAAAAATTAATTCTCCAGCAATCCAGAATGACAGTTACAAAAGCATTAAGAAAGCAACAAATAGTAAAAATCTCACTATAAACATCACCAGAGCTGGCCACATGTATCCATGTTGTGGTTTAGGCCCAGCCAGGAACAGGTCTTAGTTGCACGTTATCAGGCTTGCACAGATCTCCGCAACTTGTTGAAGGCAAGAAAGTATACTTTTATCATTTAACTGTCTCTTAGCACCAGGGAAATGCCACATGAGGTGTGTGTACGCATCATTCCGAAGTTAAAATATCAGGAATATTACAGACTGAAGTTCCTTTCTCAGTGAGAACAAACCCCGTCCAGTTACTTAAGTGATTTTAACATAAAGACTGCTAGGTACGTGTTTTTTATAGGCATCCAAACACGTGTTGTCGTTCATTCTTTTTCTCTTTTTTGCACATATTTTTTGCAGTGAAACATTCAACTATACTATAGACAGACCTGAAAATAATTGAAGGCTGCCTGTTCTGTGCAACTTGATCAGTATTTCCCACTGCAGAAAGTGATGGTTTCAGACACTGGGCTTTAGGTATCTCCATCTCAATGGGAAAAAAAATCCTATTGTAAGGCCATACTGGTTAACCATTTTGAAAAAGCTGGTTATCTCCAGCTAACCCAGGAGAAGGAAAGAAGCGGGGGTCCGCCCCCTGGCCCCCCAGCACCTTATTCATGAGATGTCATCTGGGCTCTGGTTGTATTTACAGCCCAGAGCCCCGGAGTCAGTGTGGAATCCAAACAGGAAAGCTAACCATTAGTGTATCAGAATGCACAGGGTAGAGAAAAGCAAATGAAGATGACAGCATATCTATAAATGCAAGAGAAAAGAGAGTAATTCTGTCATTCAGCTGTCTAGACTGTTTGCTTTATAATGTAAAGCTGTGAATGAGCCAGCGAGTTGCGATTATGGCATAGGAGCTTTGCAGACATTCAGAGACAGCCGTGTGGAGACTGAGGGGATTTACTGAGTTCCTGTCATGTTGGGATGTCGTACATGGTGCCTTTAAAAAAAGAAAGAGGGAGGGGAAAATGCCCTGGAAAAATAAATTAGCTAAGCTCTTCCAGCTTACAAACTATTGAATAAGGAATTCAAACAAAAAGAAAGCTCCTACATGTATAATAATCCTCAGGGTTTTTTGTGCTCAGCAGAGAGAAATGTATTTCATACAAAAAGCAGTGGTTTTTCCCCTCTATGAAAATGTTGAAGCCCTAGTATTCATTTAGCTCTTTAACTCCTGCCATGAGTCACTAACAAACATTTTCAAACAGTTCAGCTTACTGAAGTTGCTTTTGCAGAGTTTTGCTTCCCGTTAATAATGATATCTCTTTCATTTGGAACCTGTTGCAGTGCACAGCCTTTATTATCTGTGTATGTGAAAATAGTAGGAGCCGAGAAGGTAATTCCAGCTGGCATACCAATCTAGCATCCACTGCAATAAATTACTTCGCAGAGAGCATGTTCTGTTACTTTTTATGGTCATGTTCTATATTTGTGTGCGCAGTGGAAGAGATCACATGACAAAACCACCGGTTGATATCCCTGTTTGCGTATGTCCCAGCTAATAGCTCCTGGATACAGGCTCATTCAGCCGGATGGGATTCTTCAGTTCATCCACTTACTAGAAATTGTTTTCTGACGCCAAACTTCAAACATTAAAGCAAAAAAATGCCTATTGTAAATTGTTTACTATGTATGAGATCGTAAAGAGCAGATGAGAATGGAAAATAAATTAGAATATTGCTATATTCTGTGAGAAGTTGCTTAAAAAGGTATTTTGAGACTATACATTTACATGTTGCTTGAGCAAATCAGAAAATGTATTTTAACATAAGCCTTCACAAAACATGAAATAGATTGGACCTGATTTTTTTATTCCCCATATTCTAAGCCAAATACAGTTCTGATTGAAACATTATTATTTTATTGTATAATAATTTTAAAAGTTATGTGTTCCTGAGCAAGTTGATCCGTTCCACAATTTTTTTAAAATTTAGGATCGTGAATACTGCCATACAAGATCACCGCTCAAAGTCATTGCACTGAATTCTTTGTGAATGGTAACTTATAGGCTGTCTGCTCTTTATGAGTTGTTTCTTTTCACTTTAAGAGTTCAAACAGTATTAAGAGTTGCTTTGAGGGCATGAATAATCCATCGTTCCCATACTGGGAACTAGGTAATAAGTTTGTCTGTGAATCAGTATAAACATATGCAGGATGAGCATGTTCAGGGCAAGAAGTACTACAGAGAGATTTAAATGGCACATGCTGTTCAGGCTATAAATGATTACATAATTTCTCATTTTAAAAAAATGCTGAGTTCATATGACTGCCAGAGCTCATGGATTTAATTACTAACACTGTGCAGACGAACATTCCATGCCTAGCTTAAATAACCAGATTCTACACACAGGTGGGAGGAGAGGCGTGGAAGAAAGTGTGAGGTAAAAGAGGGGGTTTTTTTCCTAGGAAAGGGAAATAAGTCCTGACACCCAAGAAACTGTGTGTGAAGTTCGACTTAGAGCCATGAGAACAAATCCTGAGGTTTTTAATTTTTTATAGACAAGCAAAAAATCTATTGTAGGAACAGAATAGTTGTGGCAATTTCTTTGAATAAAGGACTCATTTTCAGAATTTTTATGTAGAAATCAAAGATGGAGATTTACAGTTCCCTACTCTCTGTCAGTGCAGGATTGCTCATTTTTTTCTCTCTCCTATTTTTAAAGTACTTCAATAACAGGACCCCTGGGACTTCTTACTGTATCCTAGCAGGATTTGTTTTCTAATTACCTTGACTTGCTTGTGTCATTCCATTTCCCACTACTTTTCCGCATACTTACTGGGACCACCCTTACTGTTTTCCAGAAATATGAAGAGCAGGATACTTCTCACCTCATTAATTTATTACTTACTTATGCAAATGAGTTTGAGCCAAGTTTTGCTGCCGTTCTACTCCGTTGGTTGACTGCTGCAAACCTGCACCTCTGTATCTAGAAATAGCTTAAGGAAGAATTTGGTTCAGTCCTTTTAAGGTCCTCAGGTCTCAAAGTTAAAGAAGGTGCCAAGAATGACATGGATAGAGCCCGAGAGTCCTGAGTTCCAAAGGGAACCCCTTCCCCCCTCCTGTTCTCTGAAATCTTGCTAAACTGTTGACATATTTCTGTTATCAGCAAGTCTACAACTGCATGCGAGTTGTGGTCAGAGCCACAGTGACGGACCAACCCACAGTTTTCAGCATCCAGCCCGCTGCCTTACAGTGTGCACAGGCTCATTTTTCGATATCCTTGCAAACTCTTACTTGGTTTCAGATCCACTTTAATTCTGGATTATTGCTTCATTGTAAGCATATTTCCAGCCTCCAGATAGCTTCCTGACTCCTGTTATCTCATAATTTTGTCTCAAAGGTGCCTGATTGCAATTAACCGGCCTCAAGCTCATTATATTTTCTGCTGATCTAGTTAACATCTGTTGGCATCCATTGTACCATTTCTCTTTCCTCACCTGTATTTGCCAGACTTCCAGGTTAATA